TTTTTTTTTTTTTTTTTTGTTTTGGTACAAAGAGAGGAGGCTAATTCCTAAAACCATCAGACAGTTATGTGCCACGGTACGCAATGCCAATGAGGTCATGCTGTAGCCACGATTTAACTTCTAAGGTGGGTCGGATAAACGATGGCAGCCATTAGGACCACCATGGGCAAGAGACGCCAAACAGTCAGTCGCAAAGTTTGCTTCTCGATAGCAATGAATCACTTTTACCTACCAATCGCGAGCAATTCCCTAATAGCCCGTACCAAGGTACCATGCACTCCAAGCTCAGTTAAGCCCCCATTTACCATAGCCACCATACTTTTGTTATCCACTTCAGCTGTAAGATTACGCCCCAAGTCCCAGGCAAGAAGCAAACCTTCTTGCCACTTTGGAAAAGGCCCCATAGCTCTGCTCCTGTAATGAACAATACCCAATATTCATCGCAAATCCCCCAAGCCAGCGACCCCGTGCATCACGAACTACTCCGCCGATCGCTGCCATCCCGGACGTAGTAAAAAAAGAGCCGTATGTGTTCACTTTGACCGTTCCATCAGCAGGAGCCTCCCATCGAATAAAATGCACTCCGCACCCGACCCCAAGGTTGCGTAGGTTTGTCTCGGTCGAGGCGAAAGATCTGATTCCTAGAGCTAAGGACCTAGCCTCCCGGAGTTTTTGAGTGGCGATAAAATCTTTATCAGTGAAAAGTTTTTGGTTCCGCCCCTGCCAAATGTGCCAAGCCATGAATCCAAAAGTGGTCTCCCACCCAACAACACCAATGCCCAAGCCGTTTTGCAAGTTATGGATCAACCAATCTCGTAGCTGTAAGCGAAAGAACTCGGGCTGTTGACGGAGAGGGACCAAGCATCGCCAAATCTCTCGGGCTCCTGTGCAATCTCGAAGACAGTGTATGGTCGATTCATCATCACGACCACACAATGGGCAGGGCGACGAGTCTGAGATATGGCGCCTCCGCCGCTCGGCATTAGTGAGCAATTTATCGTGGGCGGCAAGCCAGAAGAATTGTCGAACCCTTTGCGGGCCAGCCCATTTCCATATTATTCGCCACGGGGTCTATCAATAGCAGTCGCCGGGGAAGCACGTACCAGCGACTCGTAGGCCGATTTCGTTGTGAATCGACCATTCTCCGAAAACCCCCAATACATATGGTTCGACCCGGCAGCACTCGAAGGTGGCAGAACAACTGCAATACGCAAGGAGGTGCCAGCCAGAACTAAGTGGCAAAAAAATCCCATCTCCATTGACCCACGCCATCAACATAGGCACTAACCGTCCAGTCGAGCTGCTCAATCGGGATAGGTCCCAGGGCCTCTGTAATGAGGGGCTGCGAGCCTGTCCAATTGTCTTTCCAAAACCGAGCGGTCGCGCCATCACCAATCGACCACCTCAGACCACGCCGCACGGATGGCCAAACCCTTTTAATGGCCTGAAGAATGGCGGATCCTCTAGGAAACACAAAGTCCTCGGTCATCAAGGCGGGTACCAACCTTATTTGGCAAGAATAAGTAAAGGTAGTTATAAATTGTGGGGAGATTCTACAGTCCCGTTACAAAACCATTCCGTCGGGGTTTGTAACCGTTAGATTAACTATCAACGATGATTAAATGATGATCTAACGGTTACAAATTTCGACGGAATGATTCCTTATGGAGACTGTAGCATTTTCTTAAATTTTGTTGCCTATTAATTTTTTAGTAAGAAAAAATGATTGGCTTAGTAAATATGTTATTGTAGAAATGAAACAAAAGGAATAATAATACGAGTCTTTATTGTAAATCAAAATAAAATATTATAATGAAGTCTTAATATAAAGAGAACGAAATCCATATATATCAAATTATTTAACATTTTTTTTAGATTAGAGTTTGTTAAAATTTTTTAAGATTTGCTGAAATTAAAAAAAAAAAAAAAAAAAAAAAAAAAAAAAAAAAAAAAAAAAAAAAAACTATACAAGAAATTCCACCTCCAATTTTTATAAATTTTTTCCCATATATGAAAATTTTAAAAAGTCTCAAATCTAAAAAAAATATCAAAATGTTCACTGCAATTCTTTACAAAATCATTCATCTTTCTATAGTGTGTATGTATATACATATATAGATATATTAATACGGATAGTGGAACACAAGGTATCTGACTCCGTGACTCGACGTCCATAAATAAATAAAAGGGTAAATAATTTTTTCCAACTTGTACTATACGTGCTTTAGAGATTTTCAACCTAAAAAAAGTATTTGTTGTAAAATACAACCTAAACTACATATATATAGTTGTTTGTACGCTCGACTACTTTTTTATTGTCCGATCATCTGCAAAAAAAGATTGTGTATGGTGAAGATGTGGTCGAGCGTGCAAATAGTAACTGTATATGTAGTTCAGGTTTCATTTTACAACAAAAAACTACTTTAGGTTGAAAATCACACAAACACGTATAGTACATGTTGGAAAATATTATTTACCCTAAAATGAATAAAAACAGAATGAACCACAACTGAATGCTAATAAAGGAATGTAACAGTTGATAAATTTTGTGCGTGTATGGGTAATTGACATTAAAAAAAAAAAACACTATAATCACAGTTATGTAGACCGATTAAAATCCTTGCAAGAAAGAATTCGTAAGCTACGTAAAAGGGACTTTTCTTTGAGAACCCCCGAACGGGAAGAACTAGAACCCTTATTTAAAACTTCTACTCTGCTCATCAGGTTTCTTCTGCTGGTACATGTTGGAGAGACTTGTCGGCTTTCTGCTCGAAACTAACTAAGGCCAAAATCATTAAAAAATGAGCTGCACATGTTCTTCAGTCTGAAGTAGATGAATATATCGCACAAATGAAGTTTTTTTCCAAATTTTCATTTACTGCGTTTTTTGGCTTCGCTATAGAGGACTACACCAAATACGGTTAAGGTATACCCAAGCATTCCTGTAACTGATACGGGATTCTTGAAAATCAATATGGAAATAACTACTGCTACTGCTCCTTTAGCATTTCCAAGCACCTGAAAGAACAGGTAACAATCAAGACATTGACGGGACATTAGAAAAAAACACAAGTGCTTGAACTAGCTTTCATATGGAAACTATTTCTGATATCTATCCTTGAACTAGCTTTCATATGGAAACTATTTCTGATACGAACTCCCGCGCATACGTATAAGTATGTACTCATAAAGTATTCAATTTGAAAGGAAAGAATAGGGGCTCCCACTTATGAAAAACTCAAAATTAGGTGCATGAGAGTATAGAATTAAATAAGATGGGAGATTGCATATCAAAGTAGGAAGTAGTACAAGCTTTAATTAATGGGTTCAAATGAAAGATCTTTCGTTACATATATTTTCAGCACGTTTCCCATGTTTTTTCAACTTTATCACATTCGGGCTTTAGAGTATTTAAGAAATTATAGTAGTTTATGATTGAAACATTCACTGCATTTAATTCACATGTCCACTTGCCTTAATATTCAATAGCCAGATATATATATTTTATTTGCATATATGTCTAACATAAATTCTAAAATCTCATAACATGTGGCACTTGTGTACTCACACAAATGCTTCATAAGATAATACTAGTCACGTTAACAAACCTGCATGTGATGTGAGCTGCTAAAGCTCTAACAGAGATAAAAACATACAACAAATGGTATTCACCAAATAAAACGCTAATGCCCTAACGAAGATTTACACCTACGTTTTAGAAGCCAACCATGGGCAGAAAGCTCACACTATTCTCAACACATTTGCCACTAAATTGATGTTCACGTAACATATGATCATAAGCTTCTAAGTATGCTAACTTAAAATCAAACCAAGAAAGAAAAAATTGCAATCAGTTATGGAGTTACCGGGGAGAAGATAAAGAATCAAAACAAACAAGTTTTAGGATGGAACGAAGCAAATAATACCTGAAGAGTTAGAGCACTGGTGTGCTTCGTGACCAAAAAGTTGGTCAAGTTCACAAAATATGCAAGTGCAGAATTGAACAGCAGCAACCAAATAATTCTGCTATCTTCTCTTGCTAATGCCAATGTTATACCAACAACATTTTCCTCCATGTAAATTGTTGCAGGAAGTAGTAATACAACAGCTATAGGAGCCATGTACAGGAGCAGGTTCATTGAATTCAGCTTTTCCCTAAAATAGGAAAAAAAAAAAAAAAAAAAAAAGGTTTAGAAGTCATACTGGGCTATCTACGAGAAAACAAATGGAACTCGTTCTAGTTCTCATTAGAAAAATGGTGAGTGCAATAATATGTCACATAACACTCATACCCTTCGGAAGAAAGCAAAATCCCCTGAACCACGGATTTGAGTGCCCTTGCAGCTGTTGCACCAACACACATTATAAATCCAAACAGATGGAAACTCGGTTCACCCTGACAGCCACAAGCAGAGAATCAAACAACACATTTAGCCTAGTGTTGGTCAATTTAAGCTGGAAAAAAAACATTCTAAAGAAGCACTATAATATGATATATAAACAAGAACCTATCCTCCTGACACATACATACAACCTGCAATCCCATTTTCTGAGATGTCACACCCATGCAATTCAAAAGACACCATTTTGAACATTACTAACACATAAGCAAGATCAAAGCAAAAGGAGAAAGTGAGATTTTACAGACCAATAAATCCCAAAGACTCCAACTTTAACATTATTGATAAATAATCAAGAACAAAACCGAAAAGAAAAATTACCCCACTAGCAATGATGACTCCGGTAACCACGGGCACCAAACTCAGGTATGTCAACCAAGCTTCCCTTTTCAAAGTCATCATGTAGGCAAAAACAGCCGTGAAGAAAGGCGTGGTGGCGCCAATTGCCTGATTGAAGCTAACCGGCAAGTACTTGAGAGAAACATTGCCGCTAACAACAGAGGTGCAGAAAATCAAGCTGAGAGCCGAGATCTTCATAAACTGAACCCTGGATCTTATGGTCTGCATCGGCACCATCTTCATCCACGCAATAGCAACGTAGCTCAGCAGCGAGCACGCCGTCATGTGGCACATGGTCAAGAAAATCGGGTACTTGAACCCGTAATTGCTCAACAGATACTTGTTCAGCAGCAAAACCCCAATGTTGGATGAATACCACGCCGTCACCAGGCCGATCGTGAAGAAACGGCCCGACGATTTCATCGCAGACATCTTATGAATCAAAATCGACCCTCCACACCCGAAATCAACAGGTTATGGGTCTGCCCAGATTTCAATAATCTATAAATAAATTTCACGATCAGATCAACAAGGATTCGAAAAGGGTCGATGTCGAGAGAAGGAAATTAGGGATCTGAGTTGCATTTGAAGATATCAACGGATCTGAATCAACATGAACTCATCAAATCAAAAGAGAAATAAATAAAGCAGAATAAAGATTTCAGATTTTTTTCAAACAAAAGCAAATCCCACATAACGGTGGAATTGCTGCTATACTGTGCGCCGACGGCAACGGACAAGAATTTGAGGGGAAACACAATGCGTGTGCGTGTGGGAGTTTTGAGGATTTGTTTGCACAGTGACAATGCGGAGAAGGATTTAATTAATTATTAATAACTGGTGTAAAAAGATACCAGATTTTATTTTTAAGTATTAGTCATATTTTTTAAACCCGGCCCGGTAATCGACCCGTGCAGGTCTCCGGGTCATCGGATTAGAGTCACCGGTCCAACCGTCGGGCCATCGGGTCAATTGCTGCACCGAATAATTAATTTTAAAATTTTTAAAATTATATATAGAGTATTTTTGTCATATATATATATATATAAGTAACAAAATTAAATGTTTTGTGCATAAAATTTGTAGATTAAAAGTGTCAATAATATGTATCTCATGATAATATTTCTCATATAAACATATATACATAGTTTTATTTTGAAAAAAAAAAAAAATAAAAAAATAAAAATAAAAAAACTTAAAAAATATATATGGGCCGAGTCAAATGGGTTGACCCGGCCGGGTCCATGCACCTGGTCGGCCGAGTTCTTTGTTGTCCGATCCAAATAGCCCACCCGGACCCGGGTGTAAATATAAAAGTTAGGTAAACAACTTAATGGATCTTTAATGTAGGATTGTATGGGGAAGTCCTATAATTGCCTAATTCTAATTGTTCAGGATGAACTTGTTAGTGGATGTGATTTTTTTATTTCGTTGGAGAAACTTTTTTAATAGAAATATTATTTTGATAAAAAACAATATCAGAAAAATACTTCTTTCTATGTTCAGGATAATGAAGATATTTATTTTCATACATAAAATGTAACTTAAAAATAATAGTTATGTTAAAATAATACAATAATTACAGAATCTATTATATTTTAGATAATCTTTATATTTAATCATATTATTAGTATAATTTATATGATATAACTTATATATGACAACAACTGTATATATGTGTATAGTATCTTTCAGCATACTAAAAGGGCTTGTTTGGATACTAATATACCAGCTAAAAACGATTTTTTTTGGTTAACCATTGTCAATTTGAAAAATGTAGTATGATTAGTTGTTAGTGAGACTTTGATATTATATTAAAACAATATTTAATATAAAAATAATTTAAAAAATTGTTTTGATTTAAACCTACGAGAGAAGTGATGATTTAGTAAAAATTATGTGATGGATGAATAGTTAAATAACTTTGAAGTGTTGTGTAAGAATAATTTGTTGATATTAATTATATTTATTATATTGATTTTAGTAGAGTTGGGTTAGAGTTGACTTAGATTTTAATTATGAATTGAGTATATATTGAGTTATTTTGTATACAAACACATCATGAGGAGCGTGTTTGTATACAAATATATCCGTTCAAAACGATTTTTTTTTAACCGTAGTTGTTTTGACAAAAAGAAATGGCATGGTTAGTTAATAGTGAAATTTTGATTTTATATTAAAATAATATTTAAAATATAATAATTAAAATTAATTTTATATAAAAATAGGAAAGAAGTGATGTGAAATGATAATTAGTTAAAATAATACGAGCGGACGAAAAGTAAATTAAAGTTGATTTGACGTGTAAGAATGATTGGTATTATTTAATGATATTAATAATATTGTGGATAATTGAATTGAGTTAAAGTTAAATTAAATTTTTAATATTTATTGATATATTGAGTTTTTTTTTTTATATGCCCACGCTAGATAATCTTGTCTTGAAAATCAATATAAATACAAATCGACCATTTTTTTTTTTTTTTTTGTTTATATATAATCATTAATCAATACAAAACATTATAAACACCGCTGAATAAAATCTTCTCATGAAAGAATATGTAACTAAGGCACGTAAAATGGATCTTTCTTGGAGAACCCACATTTGAGAAGATCTAAACATTTTCACAAACCAACCTTAAGCTTCTATTCTAATCGCCCGGTTTTCTCTGCCGTTATATGTTCGACTCTGTGGCCAGGCTTCGGGCTTCCAAGGTAAAACAATGGCAAAAATCCATTAGATTGGATTTCACACATTCCTCATAATCTGATGTACGCGAAGATGGTGCGCGATTTAATGATTGGAACTTTCATTTTCTATGCTTTTTGGCTTCACTATAGAGGATAACACCAAAGACTGTCAGGCCATAACCGAGCATTCCAGTAGCCGATACGGGATTCCTGAAAATCATTATGGAGATTACCACTGCTACTGCTCCTTTTGCATTTCCAAGCACCTGAAAGAACAACATATTGCAATCATGAGATTTGACGAGATACCAGAAAAAAAACACAAGTGCTAACCCCTAAAAAAGGGAAAATTAGCTACACAAGAACTTTTTATCTGACTTATTATTTGTGAAAGAATTGCATATTACTTGTATTTATCTTTTATAATTTATTAAAAAACAAACCAAACGTATTGTTAGGAAAGAATGGTAATATAGTTTTTTAACATTTACTAAAAACATTTTGAAAAAACGTTCCTAATAAAAACAATTTAAATAAATTTTCTCACTTACTCTGTTAAGTTGCGAAAAATTCAACCTTGGGAGAAAGACAATTATGAGTAGGGGGTTGGACAACGGGTTAATGGTTTCAAATGAAAGATCTGTTGCAGATATTTTCAGCATGTTTCTCATGTTTATAAAAATTTATCACGTTTAGGATCTGAGTAGTTCATTTCAGACACCTTTGTTATTTATGGTAGAAATGTCAATTGCATTCGATTTACATTTGCCCACAATTATATCTGTTTTGCAATGATAAAATATAAATATTTTATATCTACATGTCCTACATATCCTCTAATCTTCCGTGTAGACCAATCACACCAGTATTAGTGCTTCACAACATACTATCCACCTTAACAAGTTAGATAAAAAAATGCATTTGCTGTGAGATGCTAGCTCTTCAACATATATAGCATGGAAATAAGCCTTCAAAATCCTTAATTTGTCAAAACATATGAAATCAAACTACTCTTCATACAAGTGCGGCAAAATTAATGCTCATGTATCACATGATAATATACTACAAAATTATACAAACTCAGAATGAAATCAATAACTGGGGAGGGGAAAGAGTAAAAGAAAAGAAGTATAACAAACAAGAATTAGGACAGAAAAGAAGCAAATAATACCTGAAGAGTTAGAGCACTGGTGTGCTTCGTGACCAAAAAATTTGTCAAGTTCACAAAATACGCGAGTGCAGAATTGAACAAGAGTAACCAAATAATTCTGCTATCTTCTCTTGCCAACGCCAGTGTGATACCAACAACGTTATCCTCCATGTAAATGGTCACGGGAAGTAGTAGTACAACAGCTATAGGAGCCATATACAGGAGCAGGTTCATTGAATTCAGTTTTTCCCTATACTAGGAAAAAAAATAAAGTTTCAGCAGCTGCATTCAGCAATTCTAGTAGAATATACACGAAATTCATCCTAGGTTATTAGAGTAACTGGCAGAGGAAAACATCATCAGTCTTACCCTTCAGAAGAAAGTAAAATCCCCTGAACCACTGATTTGAGTGCCCTTGCCGCTGTTGCAGCAACACATATGATAAATCCAACCAAATGAAAACTCGGTTCGCCCTGACCGACACAATAATAAAATCAGAAATATACACGTACAACCCTAGTTGTTCAATCAATTCGAGCCGGAAAAAAGAAAATAACTTCATCCACAGAAGAAGCATTAAACTTGTACAACTCATATAAGATAATCCCATGTCAGTTGCCAAACAGTATATAACACTCCAGCTTCTGATGCATAAAACCTGCAAACACGTCTTGTGATATTTTTACAGACCAATACGTTCCAAAGACACCAACTTTAACATTATTGACAAATAATCAAGAACAGAACCGAAAAGAAAAATTACCCCACTGGCAATGATGACTCCGGTAACTACCGGCACCAAAGTCAGGTAAGTCAACCAAGCTTCCCTTTTCATTGTCATCACGTAGGCGAAAACAGCCGTGAAGAAAGGCGTGGTGGCGCCAATTGCCTGATTGAAGCTAACCGGCAAGTACTTGAGCGAAATATTGCCGCTAACAACCGAGGCGCAGAAAATCAAGCTGAGGGCAGAGATCTTCATGAACTGAACCCTAGACCTTATGGTCTGCATCGGCACCATCTTCATCCACGCAATAGCAACGTAGCTCAGCAGCGAACACGCCGTCATGTGGCACATGGTCAAGAAAATCGGGTACTTGAACCCGTAATTGCTCAACAGATACTTGTTCAGCAGCAAAACCCCAATGTTGGATGAATACCACGCCGCCACCAGCCCGATTGTAAAAAACCGGCCCGAAGATTTCAACGCAGACATCTTGCAAATCCAAATCAATCTCGCCTAAACCCAACTCGTAATCGACCGGTTAAGAGACCGAGTGAATGTCTATAAACTAGAAATAAATTGCTTGATCGGATCAATAAGAACTCGAAAGGAGTAGAAGGGGAGTGAAGAAAATTAGGGATCTTGGACCCATTTGAACATTTCAACAGATCTGAATTAGCATTCACACACAATAGAAACAGATAAGTGAACCCGAATAATGAAATGAAATTTTCTTGCAGAAATCAAATCTACAGAGCTGTGGTATTGCTTATACACAGTAAGCAAACCGGCACCGGACAAGAATACGGTTGGGCGCGAGAATTTGAGGGGTACGCCGGTCGGCGAGTATGCTTAGGGCATCTCCAATGGTAATAGCTATTACTAGCTATATAGTCAGCTGACATGGATGTGAGAGATAAGAAAAATAACTATTTTACACTATTGGACCCACATATTCCTCTCACATAATATTGGACTACGTGAAATAGATAAGCTATTTGTTAGTAGCTAGTGACTACTCTCTCTCTTACTTTTTCCCTGTCCACGTCATAATAGCTAGCCAAATAGCTAACCATTGGAGACACCCTTACCCGCGTGTTTCTTTTTAATGGTTGTGTTAGGCTTATATTAATAAGTTTGGGAGATTTTACTGTCGCGTTACGGAACTATTCCGTCGCGACAGAACTATTCCGTCAAGGTTTGTTACTGTTAGATCAACTATTCACGAAGGTTGAATGATGATCTGATAGTTACAAAATCTCGATAGAATGATTCCGTAGCGGAAGTATAACATTTCCCAATAAGTTTATCACAATTCACAAATACTGCAGTTTAACATGATTATGGTAATGGGTAACCTTTCTTGATGTCAAACGGTTACAAAACGAGTTTTACCATGACTTTTATGTTTAGTCATGTGATTATTTATTATAATGTTTTTGAAACTGGAATGACTATACATATTATATTCGTTATGCCTAGCACGATGGATTAAGTGACCCTAGGCTTATATTTTCCATGCTTTACAACATGTTTTAGCATATTAAAATTTTTCATATTTCCCAATTTGCTTTTTTATTTATTTATTTTTATTTTGTTTAGAATTTTAAGATATTTATATACATCTCTGATGTATTGTATTAGAGATATTTGAGAAACTTTAGATTGTTTTCAATAATGCTATTTTTTTCAGTTTTTTCAACAATATTTGAGATTTTATATTGTTTTTAATAATGCTACTTTTTATCCCACATTTATAAAAAGAAAATGAGTTTAGTATATTATAAGCTTAGTTTTGGGATGAAATCCCACTGAAGTGAACCTAGACTCACCTTTTTATGGTACACCTTCATCTGGTGGGGCCACACTCTTTTCTTCCTATTCTATAAATCTAATAAATATGACTATGTCCCGAATGTCAATGCTGAGGCACCACGGTACTCAGCTTCCCTCAACGATCGTAATAGAAAAAAAAAAAGAACATTATTTTTATTGTAAATTTGAAATGAGATAACTGAAGATGATTTTGATAACATAAATTCGTGGAGATTGTCTCATGGCCTCAAAATGTGGTGGATTGTGGCGGTAAGCTTTGATGTTTTTGTTATAGTCTTTTTCAATTTGTATTGTTAATCTTCATTTTTGGAGTACATTATTGAAATGTCGTGTTCTCCTAGATGGAAGCTCTGTAATTTTGGTTTTTGTGTTAGATATCAATTTTGGGTTCTCTCTTTGTTTTTTTTTT